AGCTCACCTCTTAAATTTCTGAGCTCTCACCAAAATTTCCTTAAGTGCCTCTATTTCTACCAACAGCCTCTTCAAGAAAATGTAGGCTTTTCCTATCATGCCTTCAGAACCCTCTTAGCCTCTCTCCATCACTGATTCCAAAGCTACTTTCACATTCTTAGGTACTTGTTATAGCGGCACCCCATTTCCAGGTGCCAGAATCTGTATTAGTTTGCTACAGTTGCCATAACACAAAGTACCACAAACTGGGTGGTTTAAGTAACAGAAATCTATTTCTGGTGACTAGAAGTCTGAAATAAAGGTGTTGGGAGGGTTGTTTCCTTCTGAGTGCTGTGAGGACAAATCTCTTCCATGTTTTTTTTTCCCCTAACTTCTGTTGGTTTGCTTGCAATCTTTGGTATTCCTTGGCTAGTAGATGCATTACTTCCAAATTTCTTCTTTTATAAAAATACCAGTCATACTCGATTAGGGGCTCATCTAACTCCATTAGGAAGTTATCTTGGCTTAACTAACTACATCTGCAATGATCTTATTTCCAAATGAGTTCACATTCTGAAGTATTTGGAGTTAGGACATAAACAGGATTTTTTTGGGGGAGTGGGAAACACAATTTAACACATAACATACATTTTTTTGTCATAATAGAAATTTAAAAAAATCTCCCATACAATATATCACTTCAAAGGGACCCATAGAACAACAAATATACTCGAACCTCATTGTTCAGGAAGCTTCTATTAAAAAGAACATAGATCAGTTCTTGACAGGTAGAATCTCCACAAGCATTCAAGCAACAATCATCCCATCTCTTTCTTTGCTCTCTCCTGTGTTTCTGGTGCTAGAATCTCAATAGCTAAATGTCCCAGGGTTCCTTGCAGCTGGTGGTGCTCTACAATTTTTTAGGTGCTGCTAATGCTATGCCTTTCTGTAAGATTTGGGAAGTAGAAGCCATTTTTTTATTCCTCCCAGAAGTGGTCATTGATGCATGGGTTTGGGCAGGTGTGAAAGTGTGAATGTTTTCAGTAGCCTCAGGATTCCTCTGCTAATAACTGCCTCAAGACTGCAGGGGGCAGGAAACTTTGGGAGTGGTTTCCTGCAGTTGCCTGATCAAGTGTATCTCATTGGCCTCCAAATCTAGTATGATTTCCACTATGTCAGTGGATTCATAAGACTTGATTGTCCTTTATTATTTTTTCTTTACGATGCTGAACATTTATAGTTTAATGATAACAAATGAATTAGTGCTAACATATAAGTTGGGTTTACATGTCAGCTACACCACAGTCAAAAACACATGAGCTTTGTCTGTTTGACTGTAAGTACGTCTCTTCCTGGGTAGGTTTGGCAAGAGATGTAACTCCTGAGCTTAAGTGACTACTTCTTACCTTGTAAGGTCATTACAAGAATGAGATGAACTATATTAGTAATAGTAGTAAAGATGGTATTAAAATAAGACTAATAATAATACTGTTATTTGCTGGGTTGCATCACCTCAAAATTCATATGTTGAAGTCCTAACCCCTGGCAAAGCTTTTAGCAAAGAGTTGGAAAATACAAAAAATACCCAAACTGAGTTGAAGAATAAAACCACTGAAATGAATAACACACTAGAAGGAACCAAGAATAGACTAAATGAAGTAGAAGAATGGATCAGTGAGCTAGAAGACAAATTAGTGGAAATCACTACTGCAAAACAGAAAAAAGAATGAAAAGAAATGAGGATAGTTAAAGAGAACTCTGGGACAAAATGAAGCATACGAGGTTGTTACTCATGCATCTCTGATTTCAACTGAGTATAGGACAGTCCTCCTTGTCCTTTGCTCTGTGTATCTATACTCTTCTTGAGTTCCCTGAACACCTTCACCATCGTTACTTTTAACTCTTTCTCAGATAAATTGCCTATCTCCTCATCGCTTATTTTTCCTTCTGGGATTTTGTCTTGTGCCTTAGCCTGGGAGATATCCCTGCCGCCTGAGAGTACAGCTGTGGACTACAGAACTGCTCACTGCTTTAGGGTACAGCTGCGGGCTCCTCACAGGCAGAGACTCACCACCTGTGGTGTCTGTCACTGAGCACCTCTGATTCAATGTCAAACTGTGTGTGGGACTAGGGATGCAGGGAGCTGACGTCAAGCTGAACTTGCTTTTGCTCTGTTAAGTAATAAACTGTTTGAATACATTTGGGCTCATTGTCTCCTTACTGGAAATATCTTGGAAGGATGACAAGCCAACCTAACAGCTGCAGTAGTGCACCGTGTGGCCCTGTAGTCCCTGCAGTGCTACTTAAGGACTGCCTGCCTGACCACTTGACAGACTCTGGTGTTGAGTTGTGTGGTGTTGCATGACCAGAATGCTGGCTTATTTTCTTTGGTATCACGCACAGCAAGGAGCAGTTTTCCACTCATACCATGACATAGGTAGTCTTGTCAGACCTCAGTTATTTACAAACCAACTTTAGAATGGATGCCATGTCTGACACCAGCTATACTGCTACTTAATATATTTATTTAAATATAATACATTTTTGAACTCAAATTCATTTAGAAAGTTAGCCTTATATTCCTACTTGAAATTCAAAATCAGTATCACTTGCTAGAGATGTAATTGTAAAGGTAAATGAAAATAAAAACACTTGAGTTCAAGTGAAAGAATGGAATATAAGCCAAATCCATTTGCAATGTAATGCCTACTTCAGTTATATCATTTATTCTTCATAGCAATTATTTAGTGTAAATATAGTAATTTCCACTTAAGAAATGGGGAAACAGACCCAAAGGATATAAATACCTTTCTCACCATCGCACAATGTGAGTCAGAGCCAGGACTGAAACCCATAATCATTTCATGCTGTAGCCAATAAGGAGCCAGAGCAGGTGAGACCTAAGTCATTTTGCCTCAGTGAGTTCCCTGGGCTCCTTTCCCTTTCCTTCTACCTAGGATCTAGTCTTTTCAGGCAGCTCCACAACCCTGGGGCTTCTCACCTATTTTATGGTGAAATGGGATACCCTACCTTAAGTCTCACCCAAGATTTTCAGTCCTTTAGGACCTGGAAAGATTTTAAAGCCTCCGTAAGGGGGAACAACTGCTGCTTATAATACCCTAAGCAGAGTGAATTCTGAGTAGGGCCTTTCGTCGCAGAAGCATTTTTTGGTGCATGAAGATGCAAATGAGGACTCAGAAATGTAATTCTTATATTGTACATTGTAATAAGAAGTATATAAGCCTAGACCAGGACACTGGAGGTGCTTTTGAGATGACTGTTAGGCTGATGGAGTTTTACGTGGAGGAAAAAAGAGATCTGTGGCTTCTCCTTCCCTGCCTTTAAATAACTTTTTAAGAAAAACATAGTTTTTGCAGGAGATGTGGCATTTTGCCATGGGCTTGTGATATCCAGTTCTTTCATCTTTCTCCCTATGAACTGTTCCAAATATCTTTAGTGCTTTAGTTACATTTTAACAGCAGAGTAAAAGAAGTATATCATTAAAAAGTTTTAAATGTTTCTCAATGATCATCTGGGAGACCATGTGAGGTCTGTGTGCTACATTTTGGGAAACCTTTCTTTCAAGGAAAGAACAAAGCCTTTATGTCAAACAATGAAAAAATATTATTTTAAGATCTTATGAAAACATCAGATTATCACTGCAGTCGTCACGTACAATATCAATTACATATCTAACATTTTCATAAGTATTTACTTTGTGAAAGAGCAAGGACTTCTTAAAACTTGAATCCCCAAATCTGCTTTACTGGAGTCAGATACAAACTTTGTGTATACTCTGATCTACCTTTTTGTGACTATTAAATGAGGTCATATATGTATGGAATCTAGCACAGGGAACTGGCTAACAGATAGTACACACCCAATAAGTGTGAGTTATTATTCCTGTTATTATAAAAGAACTCAATAAATGGAGCTATTGTCATAACTGTACACAGGTCTGGGTTTGGTCAGTCATTTATGACCATACAGCATAGGTCAAAATCATCCAGGCAAGCTAGTAAGAGTGGTGACTTCTAACTGTGTACAGAAGATTAGTATCAGCACAGAAACAGGAGCAGGTAGCTTTCAGTGGCAGCAGCATTAGAGGTGTCTTGTAGGGAAGATGGGTGCCTCACAAAGTTTGAAGGGATGGGAACCTGGAGCTGCCCTTCTATCTGTGCCTTTTAAGCAGGGTCCAATCTTAAAAGAGAGAAGCAATTCAGAAATAACCAATCACAGGAAAGCCTGGTCCTACATTACTCACAGCCTTGCTGAGACTTCAGTTCCAGAGAATAGAAAAAGAGGTTTTTATATACCCATTAATTTTATGAAGCTAGTGTAACCTTGATACCAAAGTCCAAGAAAAGAGAGTACATGACACAAAAGTATAGGTTAGTGTCACTCATGAAGACACATAAAAATCCTAAGCAAATTAAGATGTAGATTCTCCTGATTAATACATTATGACCATTCCCCACCCCCAGGAATGCAAAGTTGGTTTAAATGTAGGAATTGACCTACATAATTTACCACGTTAACAGATTAATGGAGGAAAAATTCCTATTGCATACAAGTGTCTGATGAATGTCAACATATATTCAAGATAAATATTCTTAGCAAACTAGGATTAGAATGAACTTCCTTTACTTCACAGTAAATGTGGTGAAATGCTAAGACTTCCATTCCTATCAGGAATAAGAAAAGGATGCCCATTATTACCAGTTCTATTCAACACTGTCCAATGTTGTAAAAAAAGAAAAGGAAGAAAAAGTATAATGTTAAAAACAGCGGACACAAACTGCTAGCATTCAAAGAAGAGATACAATTGGGTATGCTGAAGTCACAAAGGATCTAGACACAAACTGTTGGAATGAATAAGCATATTTAGCAAGACTGCTGTAGAGAATATCAATGTAAAATATATCTGTATATATTTGCTCAATCAAAATATCAAACTTTAAAAAATAATATAATTTTCAACAGCATCACTTAGGAATAAGTTTAACAAAAGATTTGCAAGATTATTTGATGAAAGCTGTAAAACTTTATTGAGAGAATTTTAATAGTCAAATATGCAACATAAGAACAGTTTGCATAGTTTCATCTTGTCTTTGCTTAAACCTGTGGTTCTCCTTCCTCTGTAAGATAAACATAACAGTTGGGAACATTACTTAGCAGAATTGTATTTAGATTACATTAAAGATATACAAAGGACACTACAGTTTTGCTTTTATAAGACTTCCAAGTATATATTTTAACCAATATTTTAAAACACACCACTCTCTATTGGTACAAGGAAACAAAAAGATTGCTCAAGTTAAGAACACATTAAATAAAATGAACTTATTAAAATGTAGTTTTAAGTGGAAAGAAAAAAATTGTGTATACTTTTACTAAAAGTCCAAACAACACACACACAAAACCTAACAAAAGAAATTTACAAAAAACTGTAACTGCTTCAACTTGAAATAATATTCTGAATATGAGATAGCTAAAACAGCAATGTCATATTTTTTACTGCTTAAGTGAAGTAAATAGAAAAGCCATTACTACATTTGTTTTTTTCTCTGTTATGCAGAAGCAAAAATGTTTCTTTGGCTGGTTAGCCCTTACGGGATTGTTTAGGGTAACCATTTGTCCCCATTTTCACCTGCAATCCTGGTGCAGTTATGAGTAATGCCTTTTTTCCCACACCTGAAAGTATTCCAGTTTGTATATTATACAATAACATTAGTTTTAAATCATTAGCATCATTTTGACATCAAAATATGGAGCACATATATACCATGTCTTACAACATGACAAAAAAGAAGAAAGTGAGAAATGAATGGAGAGAGGGAAGGAAAAAGAAAAGGAGAGGGTGGGAGAAAAGGAGACTGAGACCAGCCAAACATTTGCTTCTAAAAGTAAATGCTTTTTAAAAAACTTTACTGAGGAATAATTGACAAATATAACTGTATACATTGCAAGCACACAATGTAGTGGTTTAGTGTATGTATACCTTAGGGAATGATTACCAAGATAAAAATAAGTAATTAAAACATCCATCATCTCAGAGGTTCACTCTTTTTTTTTTTTGTGGTGAGAATGCTTAAGATCTACTCTCATCAACTTTCAAGTATACAATACTATATTATTAACTAAAAGTAAATGCTTTTGAGGGACAAGTGTGACAAATTTTAGAAGTTTTCCCATGGTATCTGTGATGTTTAGATATTCAGGTTCTACTGGGATATCTTAAATAATATATGTTTTCCTAGTATTATCAATCATTTCATCAATATTTTGAAAATATTAGACTTCAAGAATGTATTCACTTTCAATTATATAATATACTCAATGTCTGTTAGTGTCTTGCTCATATTCCTTATTGTATATACTTGGGCTTTTGCAATTTTCTTCAGATTATGTAAACTAGTGGATAATCTTCATAAATTATTTTTAAAGAGCAATCTTTCCGATTTACTAGTTCCATTACCCTTCCTTTTAGTTATGATTCACACCTCTTATTAAGTACCTCTTTCCTTTCCCCTTAGGTTTATTCTGTTGCTCTTTTTTATCTTACTTTTTCTATTGGATGCTCACATAATTAACTATCTATTTAATAACATATCCATTTAAAGGCTATGATCTTCCTTTGAGGACATTTTAGTCATGTTCAAGAGGCTCCTGGAAGTACTCTGAAAACTATATTTTAATCTAAATATTCTAATGGAATGGCTCAGCAATGTAAAGTAAAAAAGTTTAGTAGAAGACTAATGGAAGGTAATTTCTGCCCTAAACATCGAGTCTTTCCTTTAAATCTGGAAGCTCTTGAAAGTAATAGTCAGCAATATGGAAAACGGGTATGTAAAACATACTTAGGTTGATTAGTCGGGAATTCCTAAGGTGAAGTCCTTGAACTTCACATCTTACTAACTGTTGTCTCAAGGCAGAAACTAATATTCCACTTTTGATATGGTTAGAAGAGATCATATCATAGTGTCTGCATTTTTATTAGGAATAGTACTCACTTAGACTGACAGTGGGGACAGGGAGCATGCTCTCAGCATATGTATCTTACTCACACCTGCCTTGATCACTGACTACATGCACTCTCTCAACTTGATCAGCCACAGAAACTAGATACTAGACTATCTCTTGCCATTTTATTATTCTGTGGTTTGATGCTTCATTGGGTAAAGGATTTAAAATGCAATTATTTTTTAAGAGCTAGAATAATTCAGAATTTTATAGAATCTAAGAACAAGTATCCAGGTCTCCATGCAGAAAAACAAATACCAAGAGGAGTATTGACCCATTATCTTAGTAGCAATGAAATCTCAATTCAGATGTTAAAATCTGATTCAAGATGACATTTTATCACAAATCATGAAAAATAGAATATCTCTGTATTCTACCCAACCGAACCAGAGAAGGCAAAAATCAACATTAAAAATGATTTTAATATATCTTATTTGAATTCACTATTTATATAAGAGTAAAGATAGGTTTAGAAGTTAAGGGATTTTCCAGAATCACACAAATTATGTTACAGCTGGTACTAGAACCTACTTCAGTACCTCAGCATATTTCATAGAAACTGGTATTTATTACAAATGTATTATACATTTGTTAAAAGCAGAAATTATAAAAGAATGTGAAAATTACTAGCTGTCGATTGAAGTACTTACTCAAGAGAAAGAATTTTCATATTTTATAATACAATATGGGTTTGATTCAATTTGTTTCTATATCTGAAAGTCTGTAAGTCAGGCAGTCAGGCATCCAGGGTCTGAGCTATCTTTCAAAAAATATTTATACGTGTACTCTGTTATTAAAGTAGCAGTAACATTACCTCTATATTGTTAAACATATAATACTCTGGAAAAAGAGAAACCATATAAATTGCATTCTTAATGGATACATACCTCCTTCCGACATTTTAAGGGGCTCTGGAGTTGATGGAATCTCCTCCTTGACATCAGAATCATCTTCTCCTTTATCCTCAGTCTCTGCCTGAGGCAGTTGCTGGACATCAGCTTCCAGGTCAGGACCTTAAAAAGATAACAATTTAAATAGTAAACATGAAATATAAATAAGGAGATGATAATATTCATTCCTTCAAATATATGAAATAAAAGCCTGTAGGCCAGTGTGATAATAAATGTGATGGAAAAATGGACTTCACACGTTTGTTTTCCTGTATTACGAGTCATTTTAAATAATAATCTATACCACACTACATCTACATTTCCTACTTATTACCAAGGTATACTAAGAGTAGAGTGTATCAGCTATCTAAGAAATCTAAAGTTTATACCACAGATAGGATTTTAATTACAATTAAAATGTGATTTTATGAAGGATTAGCAGAGTGTATTTGTGGGTCTGTGACAAATCCTATAGTAGTTACACTCATTCCCTACTGAAATAACCTCAAATTTATTGTTAAAATTAACTACTTACATTTACATGCAAAGGCCCTATATATAACTATCCATAAATGATTCCCATTTAGAACAAAGTATCAAAAACAACAGCAAATTATTACTGACAAACATCAACATTTCTGTCGTATAGTAAGAGTAAAGGAAGTAAAGTGGAAAAAAATTAACGGTCTTTGTTGCCAGTCATATTGTAGAAACCTCTTAATAGTGAGTGGCTAAAGTAATCTATGGCCTGAATTATGTAAATAATTGACAAGTGTTTGATGAAAATACTGGAAATTTGGAAGAAGTAATTTCTGTTTCATGATAATTTTAAGATGCTTTTGATTTTCCTAATTATAAAAGTTTTTAAACATCTTTTAAAGCCAGTTAAAAAATCATATTAACATAGATACCTATATGCCAGTATCCTGAATTACCCAGCTTTTGCCATACCATATCAAAATATCAGTCAAAGGAAACAGTGGCCATCATTCATTGAACTCTTTCCTGGAGTCTCTATTCTGCTCCACTGAACTCTATTTATTCCTAGGCCAATACGTAAAGAGTGTACAGTGCAGCCATATTTGAGTGTTAGGCATTTTATACAAAACAATTAAGCTTTTTTTGGTACAACAACAATAGATGGTAGGAAAAACACAAACCTTGGACTGAGATATAAATTATGTCCCAATGAGTCTGGTACTTTCTTGCAAGCCACAATTCCTGAGCCTCAATTTTCTCATTTACAAAATGGGGCTAACAGCCCTATGCACATAGGCTTTATTCCAGGTGTTATAAGATATGCTGACTAGGCACTCTGCACTTGCTATTAAAAGCTGCTTACACTTGTGATGCAATGACTGAAAAGGCCACGCAAGCATGTTCAAAAGAAGAAAAAATCAAACTATTTAAATAATGTACATTTTTGTAGTTAAAATTAGTTTCCTGTGATTTATCAAGGACTATTTTCAAGCACACAAAATAAATCTTGAAGAAACAGGAAAAATTCATTATAGTGAAGGACTGCATGAAGCTGCAAACTCTACTCTCTTTACATTTTCAGGCAATTTTCAGGAAATGTTTGAGATCGATTTCTAATATTTTCTCTCTTCCTGTTATGGTATGTCATAATACATGATGCACATACACACCTCTGCCCACCACCCCAGTATTCTTCTTCCTTTTCCCTTCACCTTGAATCAGAGGCGCTCCTTCATCCTCTTTCTCTTGACCAGGTGTAATATCCTCATTATCAGTTGGTGGGTCCTCCTCTTGAAGTTGTTCATCACTGGGCTGCTGGGCCTAAGGGCATGTGTGCGTAATAAAAATTTCTGTTAATACGTGCCAATGATATAAATACATGTAATACATAAACATATATAGTCATAAATAAGTATAAAGACACTTAAAATGACTCTATATACTTATTTGTAATGAAGTTACTCTTCCCACAGAAAGGCTACTGGAAGAAAAGTTACCCACAAGGACTTTGGAAGCTATTTTAAGCTACACTGGGATGGATGTGTGCAATCTGTTGTTAATAAGGATGAGAAAGAACTCACCATGTGTATTTCCACAGGCAACACAGAATGTTACCCACCTGGATCAATGTTCCCTTCCCCCTCTCAGCATGGAAAACTTTTATCGCTGTATCTATAGTAGTTCAACAAAATTTTCAGGAAAACAAATTTCTGATAACAGAAAAATTCCAATATCAAAGCACTCACAACCGCAGGTTCAATGAGCTGGTAAGATTCTTGATCATCTCCTTTTCCTCTAGATTTGAATCTTAGTCTTACATGCTCACTCATATTTCACACTGAAAGGAGAATATTGTGATTTAGAAAATGTACTTAAGAGGAGCACTATACCACTTCCACGGTTAAATGCATTCCCTTAAATGCTTTTTTACTTTGAAAATACTTTCAAAATAAGTCCCAGAGTAAGTATAAGTGTTCATGTTTTCTGGTGACACCAAATGCAAGGGTGTGAAAAACCATTTATGTCAGCCAAGCTAGCAGTGAAATCACCATAAGGTACATGACAAAATATGAGGTTCGGTTTCACAACTTGATTCATCATCATGGAGACATTAAAAAAAATACCACTAGAGAATTAAAACTTGAGTAACTACCACTTCTGGCACACTCTCATTTACTAAACCCTTTCTCTGCTCTCCTCAATGAAGTTTTACTGGAACACAAAGCCACACTCGTTCACAGCCTACAGCTATTTTTGCATTAAAACGGCAGGGCTGGGTGGTGGCAAGAAAAGCTCTCTGTGGCACACTCTTCCCTGGCACTCTAGTCAGTGCACTACAAACCTCAGGATACAGTCAAAACCCCACATCGGTCCTTTCTAGGCCTTTCCTTTACCGTCACCTTGCACCCTGCCCCCTGCCCGGGGCCCCACTGCCGACTCCGGGTTCTCTGCTCTGTCGGTAGTTCCAGGGCCTCCAAGACCCAGATACTGCAAATAACGCCTCCAATACTCGCCCCATCTTCACCCGACCCCCTCCCCTCCCCTCTGTCTCCCACTGTCTGCCTTTTCCCGCCGCCATCTTGAGAGCCAAGGTAGCCAAGACACCTGTGAGAATGACGACACCTCGAAGACCCTCCTTCTCAGAGGCCACAGATCCCACTGCTGTCCCGCTGGCTCCCCTTCACACGCACGCACACTTAAACTCCCAGCAGGACGGATCTGTCGACCTACCAGGTGATCTCAGCCGACAAGAAGCAGTCCAGACTGTGAGACTTGATATGCACAACTCGGCACCGAGAATGCTTTGCACACGCCGCACGCTGAGGGCCGAAGACAAGCGCGCAACCCTGGGCATGCGCACTGTACCTGTCCTGTGCCGCGTGGGCCAGTTTCCCCGCCCTCCACGGGACCCCACCAGGATTCCCGGATCTGTGCTTTGTGGGCAGTTCCTGGTGCCTCCAGGGCTCGGATACCTCAAATAACGACCCCAAAAGTGACTCCCAACCCTCCGGGGCCCATCGTCCTCTTTTCCCGCCCGCCATCACCACGAGAACAATGGCGGCCATGGCACCTCTGAGAAGGACGACGACCTCGAGGACCCTCCTCAGAGGCCACAGATCGCACCGCCTGACCCACCCAAAGCTCGCTGCCTCCCCCATCACGTGCACACACATTTAAACTCCCGGCAGTTCGTATCTGTGGACCTACCAGGTGATTCTCAACTGGTGAAAAAAGTCGAGAAGGAAGAAACACGACCTCCTCTGGCCCAGCTCTGCTCACAGAATGCGCACAACAAGGCACATGCGCTGTGTGCGTCTGTATGTGTGTGCCGCCACTAGGCTGAGACCCGGAACTACAGTCGCCCAAGGACGAGAAAAGGAGCTTGGAAAGTTTTGGGTTTGTTTTTTGAACACCACAGCCGCCTTTCTTAGGCGTCCACAAACTTTAGTGACAGCCCCAGGTTACTCTTAGTGGTAAAAGTGTCTCAGAAAGACGCTTAAGGATATTAAGGATTTTAATACCTATTTTTGTACATGCTTTGATTAACCATTAACTTCTCTTCTGGATTTTCTGTCTTGCTTGCAATGACTTTGCTCACTTTCATAGAATAAATACATAACATCTGTTTCCTTTTTCACTTGTGGTGCTGCACATTTAAATCTCTGGACTCAGAACTGATTTTTTTGAATATATCTGTGGTCATGGGGTCTGTGTATGGTTCAGAAATATCCATAGATACTGGTTCTAGGATCTAGGCTCAGTCCACTGTCACATGGTGCACAGCAGTGTGAGTATGCTCATTATATTCTGTACTTCTCACTAGTCCACCATCTTCTCAGTCTGCTAGCTTATGGAATAAAGTCGATATTCATTGCCCCAACACCTTGTCTCAAGATTTATTGGCCTGTTCTGCAGCAAGCAGTATGAGCTTGGACTTGGTAAAAGTTCTTCAATTTTTTAAAAGAGTGAGATCAGTTATAATCCTTGATCTCTTACTTAGTTTATCTCTTATACTTTATGATCTTTCTCAGAAAGGGCACTATCATTATCACTTTTTACTTGCTTTTCCCCCTTTAAGTCCAGGTTTTTCAGTACTGCACTCAAGAATTGCTCAAAGAATTGGAGCTAGTGATTTCTGGACTTAGACTTTCTGTGAGCACCTAACCAGCAAATGGTCAAATTCATGCCATCAGACAGTTGGACAGCTGTGGGTCATGAGGGCCTGGGCTTTGATGATTCCTGAATTGTTCCACTTCACTTTATAGGGCGGACTTCAGCCTGATGCCAGTCTTTAGCTTTCTCCCACCATTCCTATGGAAGATAACCACTGACCAACTTGATCAAAGGCCATAATTGGATTTGGCAGAAACAAGTTGTGAATTTGCTCTGGTGACACACGGGAAGCAGCAGAAAGTATGAAAGAACTGCTTGATACATGACTCCAGGAACTCTCTCTGGGCTGATAAGCAAGGAGAGCTAGCCTACCAGCAGCTCTTCTACTTGCAGTTTCCCACAAGACCAGAGCTTTACTTCTCTTAAGCAGGAGCATCTATGAAGAAATGTAAATTTCCATAGGATCACAGGGTCGTGGGGAATGGAACTAGTTCTACAGATTCTGGGCTGCTGCCATTTTCCAGAATATCATAAACAGCTGGCATCTAAGCTCAGACTGCTTGGTGGCTGAGGTCAAATTATTTACTACTTATCATGTGAAATGCAGCTCTCATGCTTGCCTCATAAGATGGGAACACAGAAGGAGCTGGGGTTCTTTTGCTACAGCACAGCAATGCATGACCTTCAGTTATGCCCCAGCCCATGGACAGTTTCTACAGGATCCAAAAGAACAAGAGGCCATAGGAACCTGCTGACCCTTTTGCCTGTGAGTTCCTGTCTGTGTCAAGTGGCAGTTGTCATAAGCAAAAGACACTGTTACCTGAATTTTAATGTGAAGCTTTGAAAATGGTACTGACATTTCCTCAGTAATTATATATTTTGTGGTAGCCCTAGTGGCCTATATCAAAGATGGCCTTTTTGTCTGAAAATACTGAATTTCCAAGGCTGAGGTAAAATGGGTGTTCTCACGTGTATTTGCATGTACTTTGATAGCAGTGTTTATTAATCATTGGAGATGTTCTGTGAAAAGACTTTAATGTTAACCAAACTGTGGTTTACAATTCATTGTGGGTTGTAAGATTAATGCTGTCAACCACAAATAGCATTTTAAAGAAATGAGATAAAATATAATAGTAAATATCAGCCTGAACTGCATATAGATTATGAAAATAAACTACACAATACATATATTTATGTGCCTACTGAATTATACACAAAATATATTTTTCATGCATTGTAGTAAAAAATGGAAAATCACTACTTTAGACAGTATCAGATAAATGCTTATAGGCCATGTCTTCAGCTATGTATGAGAATAATGGATTAGGACCTACTCAGAATAACTTCACTCTTATCAATATCTTTCTACATAATCTTTGAAGTAGTTCTCAATGTAGTTTAAGATGGGTCAGCTTTTCTGTGGGCATTTGACCCTCAGCAAACTTACTTGTGGAATCTTGAGGTTGTGAGAAGAAAGTCCGATTAGTAGGGGGGCTTTGTGGTTCATTACCTCTGTTAATGCCCAGAGTCTCTCCTATTGTGTCCTTCTATAGCTTCAGGGTTTGTTCATGTGAGTGATTCTGCACTTGGGTGATGCTGCCTTGACCATTCTCTTTTTACCCTTAATTACTGAACCTTTTTTATGTATGTAATTATGTACTTAATTAGCATCTAGTGACAGTGCCAATTGTGGTGTTCAGTGTTGACCCATTTTACATATACTCAAAATATTTTCAATATAAATATTTATTCTTACCAACTTTCTCTTAAGGTACATGGAGACTTTCAATGCAAATAAATATCAGTGTTTAATGTCAGATCTTACTACGCAATAATCCTGAAGAATTTCTAATCAAACTGTTATCACCATAAACTTTAGATAAATGACACATTTACTAAGACACAGAATCAAAGATTTTGAGATACTGACATTTTAATAGATCCACTTGAGGGATATAAAGTCATAGAATATTTGAAAAAGTTTCCTCCTTTAAACTATGGAGTGAATTTGGGATATTCTTTCTCATTAAAATCATTTCCTTTTATTCCTTTAATCATGTTTCCTATTGAGTGTACTCATTCAAACATAGTTTTCATTTCACACAAATACTTGGCCTTAATTTACTATTCAGCTTCACTTCAGTTTAGAATGCTTAGGAAGACCAAGTAGCCAAATACTGTATGCCAACAAGATTTCTGGCATTCCTGTACTAGCGTGTGGTCCCTGATCATTCTTAGAAAATCACCATATCTAACCACTGTCATATCATCAGCAATATAAGAGCCACAACACTTGGAGCTACGGTTATCATCTGAACATACTCTTTGAATTATAGTGCAATAGACTAAATGTTTCTCTCTCCCCCAAATTTTATATGTTGAAATCTAATCTTCAATGTGATAGTATTGGGAACTGGGTTATTTGGGGGATAATTAGGCTACGAGAGTGGAGCCCTTTTTAAATGTGATTAGTGCCCTTATAAAAGGGATTCCCAGGGAGCTCTCTCACCCTCTTTCTGCCATGTAAAGATACAATGAGAATTCTGCAACCTAAAGCTCCTGGAGAATGTCATTCTAAGTGAAGTAAGCCAGAAAGAGAAAGAAAAATATCGTATGAGATCACTCATATGTGGAATCTAAAAAACAAAAACAAAAACAAAACAAAACAAAGCGTAAATACAAAACAGAAATAGACTCATAGACATAGAATACAAACTTGTGGTTGCCAAGGGGGCAGAGGGTGGGAAGGGATAGATGGGATTTCAAAATTGTAGAATTGATAGACAAGATTATACTGTATAACACAGGGAAATACACACAAGATCTTATGGTAGCTCACAGAGAAAAAAATGCGACAATGAATATATATATGTTCATGTATAACTGAAAAATTGTGCTGAACACTGGAATTTGACACAACATTGTAAAATGATTATAAATCAATAAAAAATGTTAAAAAAAAAGAACCCAACCATGCCGGCACCCTGATCTCACGCTTCCAACCATCAGAACCTTGAGAAATACATTTCTATTGTTAAAAGCCATTCAGTCTGTGGTACTTTGTTATAGCAGCTTGGTTAAGACAGATGGGTAATATTTCTAGATGCAACTTTGAATAAAAATCTATTTATATGCTTACTATTGATATACTGATAGCCAGTGAAAGTACAAATGCATATATATCATAGTTATAGTAATATTCTGCAACAGTTAATGGTGATTGTGAAAACTATAATATTACATTATGAAAAAAGAGAAAGAATTTTAAAATAATTAGTAAGGAAACATATTGAGATTTAAGTAAATTATTGAGAGTATATGTGAGCTAGAAAATGTCTGGAAGGGTATTATATTCTTTTCCCCCTTTTACTGAGGTTTAATTGAGAAATAATTTTATATATTTAAGCTGTGTAATAAGATTTTTTTGTTTTTCATGAGTATAACATGATAATTTAATATATGTATGAATTGTGATATAATTACTACCAATGTTTATAAAAACCATCTACAATTATGGAAAACAGAATAAGAGATATTAGAATAATAAGGGGTTACCAAACTTTTTGTTTAAAAGGCCCAGATGTAAATATTTCAGTCTTGGTGGGCCACAGATAGTCTTTGTGACATATGGTTCTATTTTTAAAAAATAATCCTTTAAAATGTAAAAAGTATTCTTAGCTCAAAGGCTATACAAAAACAAGCCACGGGCTAGATTTGGCTTAGAAGCCATATTTGCTAGCTCCT